GCTTTTTCGCATCATGCTTCAATGGCTCTTAGCGAACCCCTGTAAAGTTGTTTACACTGCGTGGCACACGGGTCTTGCCCAAAAGCCGCATTTCTGGTTACAACTACCGGGCGGTAGGTGGCGTTAAGTTCGCGAGTGGTGATCACCATCATCGTCATCATGGTATAGCGCCGGCAGCGACAAGCCTTGGTAGCAGCGAGCGAGAAATAAGCTCTTTTCTGTGCGTGGCGGTTATTGCGAACGGTTGTCTCTAGCATGGGTCCTAGGTGTGTGGCACCGCGGGCTGCGCGCCGGGGGCCCTCGTGGTAAGTCAAGCGTTGGCGACGCCGCCTTGGGTGTGTTATTGTGTTTGTCATGTTTTGAAGTGTATGGTAATATTGTGTAAGGATGTTTAGCATATGATAACGATTGGTGTTTTAATTATTCAGCTGACAATATCATCATTCTAAATTAGTTAAATAAAAGTATGTTGTTTGGTTTGTACCGACCACGCCCACTCTGTCTGTTCACTCCACGAGCGTTGTGCTCGCCATTTCGATACACCACAAATCAAGCCATTATATCACAAAACAACAATGCAAGAAAAGTCAGAACATAGTTTTGCAACCATGCTGAACAGTTGCGAGTAGTGCGAGCACGGACGACATCCACCAAAATTTGGAAGTCGTGCCTTTTACGGCAAAGCTCGGTCTGTCGAATGCAGAAGAAAACTCTTTGCTGATAGCGCCACGCAAGCACAGCAGCACAAAAACAAAGCGCGCAGCCTCGAAAACAGTGTACGCACGCTGGTAGAAACACGCCGCGCGCTCGCCATCTCTGAGGCCAAGCAAAGTGCAACTGCACCCACCGCGCCGATTGCGCATTGTGCGCCCGCAACGTCTACCGCAATGTTTGTGCGCCACCACTCGACGCTGCGTTTTTTTTGTCGGGTTTTTCGTTGTGAACTTAGTCGGTGCACCTGCTGCACAGGGCGCATTCAGCCGATACGCTAGCTACACGGCTGGTTACAAACAGTATTGTATGAGCTGTAGCACAAAAAGAGCTTCGGGCTACAAAAAAGATTTGTCAGGCATTTAACGGGGAAAAACAAGCAAAGCCATTACGCGAAACTTTTGCTGTTATAACTTCCATGACTTTTCCCTCCCGCGAATCGAACCCTCCCCCGAAATTCATGTTAACTTTACTGAAAAAAAAAAAGCTAGGCTCATTACAAGAGTAAACACGGTAAGTAACAGTATGGACCACGAATACAGCGCAAATGGAGATTGCATGAACCTTCGAAATGGCCACTTCGCACTAGTATTTCTCGCAGATGACATCAGGCCTTACTTGGCAGAACAATAAAATTTGTTAGTATTGCATTCATTGTTAAGTGAAACTAACACATTGCATCTTTTTGGACCGGGTATCGTGCAACTCAACAGAACGCTAACTAAAAAGACTATGGCACTCCAGGTGCCGAAGTGGTTTTCATGCTGTGAGTTATCTAAACACAAAGTAGAACTTAATAGCGTGAAATGTTTACAAGCAGTCGTATTATCTCGTGATAGCGCGGGCCAGCGACTGCGCCCTTTGAGCGCCAGAGCCTCCCACCCCCCAGAACAAAGCCATGAATGCGATACTAGGATGTTTAAAATTTTTTTCCTCAGGTATTGACCCTGGAAAGCGAGGGGCAGACGTCTAGCATGGTGTAGCCGTTTCACAGCGGGCCTTCCGGCACCAAGGCCACCAGCGATGGGCCCACTACTGAAGGCTGTGCATATTAAAACCGAATGCCAGTTGCTAACCAGGAGGCTCGCCTTTATTGATGAGATAACATTTTCTAAATAGAAGCACACAAAAAATCTGAATTCGGACCCTAGCACTTACAAGCTCAAAAAAGGTAGGTTCTTTTAGGGGCGTTCACCCCAAGAGCGATTACACACGCGGATGTGTTGGTGGAAGGAATTATGAAAAAGCTCTTCTGGATGAAGATACATGGATAAAGTATATTTGATGAAAAGTGTCAACACGTTCCCGTGGTTCAGGTGTTGTTCTGTGGACATGAAGCACAAAAAATTATATCGCGATGTCCAGAAGTAGACGTGACAGATATTCTGGCGGCACATGTGCAGTTATTACTGATAGTTGAATCTTTACCTGCAGTGCAGCTCTTCAAACGAGCTATTAGTAGAGCTCCTGGAATGGACTATGTCCGCTGAAGAATCGCCGCCAAAGTTGCACACTACCGATTGGAACACAAGCCCCTAGCTACGGATAGTGGGTTTTGTTGTTGAGCGGACTTGCACAACAGAAGTTGCATTGGCACCAAGCATAGCATTGTGGATTATTTGGGACGCACAGGCGTTCAGCGGAGTGCCCACTTTTTCATGAAGAACATCGCTCAACGCTCTTCTGTTAGGAGCACCAGCAGTTGTCATAACTGATCGTGAAACAGCTTTTACAGCCTAGATGATACAAGACAGCTTAGCGAAACAGCTCATGGAAGAACTACTACATACCACCCACAAAGCAACGGCCTTACAGAAACACTAAACAAGACGCTCGCCAACATGCTATTCATGTACATTGACCAAGACCACAAAAACTGTTCGCTGACAACACTGCTGTGCAAGAAACTACTGCTTTCAGACCTTTCTGGTTGCTTCATGGCAGGGAGGTCACAACAATGTTAGATGCTATGCTGTTACCAGACAGGCACCACATTAGTGTTGATACGAAAGAATTCATCCGACTCGCGTAGCTCGCAAGCTTGCACTCAAGCGAATCAGTAAGCAACAACACATCGACTCGCAGTGGTACAATGCACATCATCGCGAGGTCTTTTTCTAACTTGAAGATCAATTATGGTTGTGGACTCCTATTCACCACTGGGGCCGGTCGGTAAAATTGTTACACCGCTATCTTGGCTCCTATAGAGTTCTCCATCATCTTGGCGTATTGAACTAGAAAGTTCTTCACAAGGATACGGCTCGTCGGCCCCGTCGTTCACAGCAGGAAGACGCCTTCCAGGTTTTGAGGATGAAGCCATTTTACCAAAACTCCATCAAGCTCCCCTGTGTAGGCTTGTCAACACCCTGTGTACTGATTTTTTTTTCTTCTCGTAATTATGGTGCCGCATCGGGACAATGCTCCTCGGAAGGGGGGTAATGTTACTCATATAGGTTCTGCAAGTACTGTTGCTATCGATGATGGCAGGCCTGTATGTGCTAGTGTATTAAAGAAGACAAAGACAAGCTTGCAGAGAAAAACTATAGTCTTAATGGCGATGACCAGACGAGCCCAACGCCCTTACGGTATAGTATTGTGACGATATGTTTAGTACAAATGTTTGGACTGTTTATTACTTTATGCGTCCAAATTGTTTAGAAGTTTCAATCCTGTCTGTTTTTTTTCTTTTATAAATGTGTATGTCTTCAGGTGCGTTCTTGACTTTACCTATTCTACATATTAGATGCTTTTTTAAAGGTATGCTACTACTATATACTCTCCTGCTCTTTTTCACATTTGTGATGTTTCTTTGCCCGATCAGGATTGGCCGATTGTGAGTTTTTGTATAACAAAATGATTTTTTTTTTATTTGCCTATGACATATTTTCTGTTATTAGACTGTACTTTAAAGTGAAAGCCTCCGTCAGGCTATATATATATATATATATATATATATATATATATATATATATATATATATATATATATATATATATATATATATATATATAGCCTTTTGCTTCATTTATTCTGTTATATGTACAGAAAATAGAACCTCGAATAAATCTAAAAAAAATCTGATTTGCCGCACTTTGGCACAGGAGTGTAATCATTGCTCATAGCTCTTCTGAATTCCCTTTCCCACCTATTGCTACCACACGATGCATGGCTATGCTAACCTTTACCCTCCCCCTCGCATCGTCACCCCTCTACTAAAATCCCACTTATCTTTCCAACCTTTTGCTATACTATGCTCCACTTTACCCTCTCACCTCTCCTCTGAACCCTCACTAATCACCAACCCTCCTATATCGAAAACTTGAATTGCTGAGCAAGCTCAAGGAAAGCGAGAAGGGAGACTGGAAAGAGCACAGACTACCAAAAACTGTTTATCGTATTTTCATGAAACCAATCAATAGACATACCACACAATGCGCACAAAACAGGTTACTATTGTAGAGATGCCACAAACAGAGCCGTGACAAAACACTTGGAATGTAACAAACGCTGCAATTTAAACAGTGTATTCACAAGGTATACACCTATATTTTATATATTTACTTTTCATTTTTTCCTTCTTATTGCACCAAGCTTTTCAATTACAGGAACACATAAAAAGGTACTGTACAAAATTCTTTTGAAAACTTTTAAATAGCGCTCGACACCAACTACTACAATAAAAAACAATTTTCAGATCACCCTAAGCCAGCAACAAGGAGCAAGAACGACAAAGCACTAGAACGAGAGAGTCAAAGACCTAAAGCCTTAAGAAAACATTACTTAGCATGGCGTCGTAAATAAAATGGGAGAAATGAGTGCACATTCATCGAAAAGTCAACAAAAGAAGGAGAAGAAAGCCTTGCAAAGTGTTACCCACAACATTAAACATGGCCGTGTAGAAAGACCATCTCCCTGTTCAAAAGTGAGATTAATGGCATGCTTAAGCGTTTTTATTGAATTGCCTAATAAAATACGCTTCAATAATCTCCCTTTCAGTCTTTTCACGTACTTCAGCAATGACTGACACATTTTCAAATCAGGCGGTGCAACCAGATGTCCTACAATGAAAATCTAAGTGACCCCCATTTGTTTGCCTTTACGGCCATACTGAGCTCCTGCATTTGTTCGTTGAGGCATCACCCCATCTGCTCTATGTACAGTCTACCACATGACAAAGGGATCAGGTCAATAACAGCAAAAACACACCTAGTCAACATGTTTCGCCATGGTCACCTAGTGACCATGGCGATACCTGGGCCCAGATTTCACCCACAGCACAATCAGCTCACCTGCGCACCAACATCCACTGGTTCATAGTCTTTCTCATCCCGTCTAGGTGTCACTTCTGCGCTGCGATCACCTGTCCGGTAACCTGGCGTGTTGACCAGCGCCGAGTCTTCATTTTCAAGCCGAGCCGCTAGGTGGGGAAAAAACGGCCAATTCACTCATTTATTATAGCCCTACCACAAAAGAAAACCGGAAGAATCAAAAGTACTGACAAAATTTGGGTCTGTTTAGGGTAATAAAAAATTTAGAGCAGCTGACTTACTCTGTAAGGGGCAATGTATCCCAATGCTATAACATCATTATCATGATGCTATAGTGCAAGTTATCATGCAAACTCAATTTTGTGCTATAACAATAATCATGACCGAAACTACTATCGAAACTACTACCCGAAGTAGCCGAAACTACTAACCGTCTATGTAATTACCAGATACACATCCTGTGGAATGCCACTCATAATCAGTGTTTTCAGTAATACTGCCTGTATCTGATTCCACACACATTACCCATTCAGGTGCAGCATTCACATATATGGATGCAACTTGCTTTTGCCAGTTTCTTGGACCAGTGAGAAACAAAAGACAAGACACTTTACACATAAGATCAATTAACACATCTTGATTTAACCCCAATATGCTGCATCAATCTGCAGCTCAGTATTTTAGTGAAAGCACTCCGATGTTCGATGGGTCGCTCGACCTGCTACTTGCCAGGACCAACTTTATAAGTACTGTGATTTTTTTGCACGAAACGAACACAGCCAAAAATGAACCGCATGTGCATTTCCGGCCAAACATTTTCCATTTTTGCGAGTAAAAAGTGAACATGACTGACAGCAGCATATTTAAATATATGCATATTATGGATAATGAATAAAGCTCACCAAGACCCCCTATTTCTTAATTTTCTTTTTTTCGCTGTAATATCGAACAACTTAGAATGTGCGAAATTTAGACGTTTGCTGACAGTTCATCATAATTGACGCCTGAAGGGTTATGAAACTTTAACCCGATCGCTAGTTAGCAACAGATGCGATGACACAAGTAGTACTGCACCGCATATGTCATTCAATATTATATTATGAAAACTCGTAACTGGCGCTATGTTACCAAGCAGGCATAAGGGTGGCTCAAGGACAGCACAAATTTCTGGCACATTTTTTGCAGAGCCACATTTCTGGAGTGAGTGCTGCTCTAAATCAACAGAGAATCTCTCACTCTGTCATTTGTACAAACTAGCTCCAACTATGCTAAGGGAATAAATTATCATGCCTTGATTCTTCAAAAATGCACGAAATCGGGAACTTACATATCAAGCAAGGTCTGGGAGCAGGCTATTCTGTAACGTTAAAGCTTCAGTGCAAAAAAAGGTGTGCAGCAGACAAAGATACGATGCTTGTCCTCGCAGTTTCCATCTCTCGCGCGCCTTTTTGCCTTGAAGCTTCTAAATCACGCGTCAAAATTTCTAGGATAGGTTTTGTCTGCCAAATGGTTCGTGTAGGTCACAAATAATGGAGGTATCTCTGACGGGCGTCGTCTAAAGCCTTATCCTAAGAATCCTCAAAAGTACTATACTTAAGAGAGAACAGGATGTTTACAGAATCCCCTAGAGCGAGCATATGGGTTCGCTTGTCAAAAGCACCTCTTGCGTGGGACCCCAATCAATAAACACTTTTGCCAGCTATTGAATCCTATCACTGCCACACTTCCCAATTCACTTATTCTCGCCTTGAAAGCATATCATTAGCTAATTCTTCACACTGTAAATGCTCTAAATACTGGCCCTTTTACATGGGGTGTGAATATTGCCACCCGCATGTAGTGGGTCGAGGGCAAGAGCGGCTGTTCCACTGAAGGAAAAAGGAGATCTCGTGTTTCTTCTCTGCTCGAGAGCCCGCAGCGCTGGACGCATCATTCGAGAGAGCTAGTTAATCGGTGGCTTAATAAACCTTCCAGTTCTTCTGAAGCCTTGTGACATTACCAAACTTTCTACTTTGAATAATAAAAATCAAGTGTAAATCTGAATATATTTTCAGCATTTTCGAATATAAACAGTATGGCTCTGACTTCTGCAAAGAAATTCTTCCAGACATGAAAAAGTTAGCTTGTTGTGTTGTTGTACAGCAAATAATATATACAAACATTATGCAATGTACAGCACTATTGCTTGACAGTACCACATATGTAGTCATTTAATACAGTTATGAAGAATAGATAGTTGTAAACTGTGTTCAGGAAGTCACGATTCCTCCAGACAATGAAAACAGCTGTTACTAGACATACCAGTCTAGTAACAGCTGTTTGTCTAGTAACAGTCTAGTGACACTTGTCAAGTACGCCGCCTCGATTGGAAGGTGCTCTGTTCAACATGCTCATATCGAAAAGAAAAAAAGCAGCCAGGTGAAAAACAGGACCAGCACTGACTTTTAGCAAGTGTTTTCAAGTATGCTTCGCAAGTAACCTGGAAAGGGAAAAAAAAATTTCTTTTGCACAGCTGGTACCCAAACTTGTCGACATTTAAGTAGAAAGATGCTTTGTCTGCTTTTCCTTATCCTCTTGTGTTTTATTTGTGCTTTTTTCACAATGATCATATACCAACAAGCTAAACTTTAAATGTCAGCAGAACGATAGTTGTAGGAACCTACTTCACGGCAGGCTAACCTAAAATAATGCTTGCTTTTCTTAATTTTTATACACTTGGTGCTTTTGCTCAACATAATTTTGACACTATGACCAGAGGGGAGAGCAATGTGGCTATTTGTGCATGAAATCGAGAAAATTAAGCATAGTTATAAATTAATTATCTGTGCTAATTTTAATACTCACTAGGAATGACGGATATTTTGACATTTTTGTAAGGTTCCATCAAGCTGCTGAGAAGAAGAGACAGGAAAACCACAGCAACCGCTTCGGTTGTCCTGTAGCCAGGAATGTTGCTTGGCTTGTAGTCAGCTTTTTAAAAAATGCACAAGGAAGACGGGATGAAAACAGGAGTCAAAAACAGACGTTGTGTCGTCTGTGTTTTTGTCCTGCTCTTACTGCGCAGTTTTCAAGTTTTCCTGGCACTTCTTCTTGGTTGTTCTCGTCTTTTCATGCTTGAAACTACCATCTTGTTGTGAAGTTTTGTGGCATTAAAATATTTCAAATAGTAAAAGTGCTTGCACATCAAATGAACTGCCGAAGTATTCATTTGCCGAGGTCTGCAATATTCTGCGAATTAACTGCCGAGGTCTGCAATATTCACACGCTCCTGATCTTAACCCTATACCCCCTAAAGGTATATCGCACCCTTCTCATCCTGTGAGGATGACACTGTAGAGTGGAGTTTTTGTTACATAACTATGCAGTCCCTGCCTCTTGCCTGCTTTGACCAACAGAAATGATTTGCGCATTTTTACTGTTCAGCCCTATGTACTGTATTTCCATTCATTCTCATGGCCTTAAGCCTAAAGGCCATTAGACTAACAGTAAACAGTTTCTCACATGTGCGATGAAGAGAGGTCTCGAAAAGTACAGTTGATGCATCCACCTTATGATCAGGCACAGTCATTCTGTGGCTTGTGACTACACAAAGGTTGACCTGCTCATGCACCTCCAGCTTTTGTGACATATGAACCCGCAAACAAAACTTATGCCGAGAAACTGAGCCTTACTAGGCATAAATTTCCAAACTGTCGCTTTAAAGGCGCAAGTACTAACTAGTATGTTTTTTTGAATTATTCTACAGCGGCAATAAGCACGGGGTTGATAAATCTGATAAAATAACGAGGTGTGACTGAAAATGTCCTCTTACATCTTGCACAAACATTAACAGCAGGCACATTATAATGCACAACTCTGTCACAAACATCACAAGTGACGCTTGGCCCAAACATGCATGTGCGTATTCACACTGTCAAACGCCTACTGCTAGCTCATGCATGAACTCTCAGCACAAACAGGTATCCAAAGGCATTGGCAAGGGAATCAGTCCAAATCACATCCATCTTGAAAATTCCATTCAGCACTGTGGAGGGCTCCTCAGTTAAACAGAAAGTACGAAAATCTCTCCCAAAGTAATCATCCACACCACGTCATCTTTTCCTCAACGATCTGCATGCACACAATCAATCGGGAATGCAACAGTGCTGGGAAAGAAGGAAACCACGGCTGCACTCATGCAAGCTGGTGCCCTCTTCCTCCTCGAATTCACCATGCCGACATCGTGTGGCCGGTAACTTCAACGTGACGCTTGTACATGTATTTGCTTTAGATTTAAGTCCTGGCAGCAATGTATGTGACTTCATTGTGTGCTAGGCATGACTAAACAGCAAACAGCTGAAGTTGATAATAATGACAAAACACCTGATGCTCTGTCCCTAGGGTGACATGGCTCATTTCACCATTTATTTGTTGCCATCAATGCACTGGGTAAGTAGCGAGTGCAAGTTCAGATCGAACCGAGCGGTCGCACCAGCATCGGTGCTGCCACCTCAATTTTTACCCATAGTTACCATTGGTGAAACAATGAAAAAATTAAAGATGTACAACTAAAATGCAAAATAGAATAAATGCATTTTGCATCTAAGTGGTGTACCACGTGATAAACAAGTGCAAATGCCCTGCCTTGCATGTCCCATAACTTTGAATGGCAGTGATGAGATGAAGTATGGGAGGAACCACTGTATGCGACACCATGAAGCAAGCAACGTTGTTTTGACACACTTCCGTAGTGAACAATTTGACTAGTTATTGAAAATCTACTATATGAAACATTGCAGCCTGCTAGTAGTTGTGAGCAATAGTAGTAATGATAATGCTGCCGTAGCGTTTCCGGTAGGCGAGATTGCTACATCAACTGTCAAATAAACAGCGAGGCAATGCTTTGCCTGTTGGCCACAGTAAGGTGCAGCATGGTGAAAGTTTGCACATTCTTTACTGCATTCAGCAAGGCACAGCACACAAATGTCAAGTGATACACACCCTTACCTCCCTCTCTGCTTTGCCACTGACATGCACAATGCTTCAGGATAGGGTAAATCGGGGATCATTGGGATACGACCAAAACAGGCCGAGAATGACACTGATGCGCAAAAACCCATGCTGCGTCGAAAATACTTCATAGGTTGCTCAGGACTTTAATGGTGTCAAA